TGTGGGTGAGAGAGAGAGAGAGAGAGAGAGAGAGAGAGAGAGAGAGAGAGAGAGAAGCATGAATTAATCAGTGAATTCTCCCAGGCAGCCTTCCTAGTTAAGAAAATGACAGACGGGCTGGAGAGATGGCTCAAGAGATTAAGAGCACTGGCTGCTCTTTCCAAAGGACCCGGGTTCAATTCCCACCACCTACATGGCAGTTCACAACTGTTCAGGGGATCTGACACCCTCATACAGACATACATGCAGGCAAAACCCCCAAAGTACATTAAATAAATAAATCTTAGAAAGAGAGAAAGAGAGAGAGAGAGGGAGAGAGAGAGAGAGGGGGGGGAGAGGGAAGGAAGGAAGGAAGGAAAGAAAGAAAATGACAGGCAGAATGATCCATGGTCTTTTTCTGGGGAAAATAAAAGTTTAGGATGCCAGCACTCAGGAGGCAGAGGCAGGTGGATCTCTGTGAGTTCAAGGACAGCCTGATGTACAGAGCAAGTGCCAGGACAGCCAGGGCTACAGAGAGAAAACCTGTCTCAAAAAAATAAGCAAACAAACAGAAGTGGGAGCAGGAGGGCTAGCAGTGTTCCTGGCTGTATAACAAGCAGGGAAAGAGAGGGAGCATTCTGCATTGGGATGATATTTTCTTTGGAGTATTAACGACAGGTGTATGTTTAAAGAACTGAACTGGCTGTGGCTGCTCACGTTGTAGTCCCTGTAACTTGAGAGCCTTAGGCAGCAGGGCTGATGGAGCCCAGGAGTTCAAGACCAACCAGAGAAACAGCAAGATCCTATTCAAAAATAAGCAAATTCCTCAAAAGTCCAAGAAAGTTCAGCCTGAAATCCCCAAGGGAGCCCTTTGTCCAGCGGTATAACCATTTTCATGTATGTGAGCTAAATTACACAGTCATGTGCAAAGCGGTAAGTGTATGGGGTTGAGTAACTTACAGATCTAGTTGGGATTCCACATGATCAGCTGTGTAATGTCAAGCAGATTATTTAGCTACTCAAAATTTCTCTCTCCTTGGCTATAAAATGGAGATGATACCTATTTAAAAAATCTGTGTGAGAGTTAAGATAACTCTCATAGTACTAGAACACTGATGCTAATGGCAATCCCCCTTCCCCTTTTTGAGATAGTCTCACTATGTATCCCAGGCTAACCTACCCTCAAATTCTGTATCCTTCTTCCTCTGCCAAACTAGTGCTAGAATACCTACTCGAGCCAGCATTAACCAGTTCTGCTAGTCTTTAATGGGAAGGACTACATTTTATGTCTTATTGTGAGGTTTCTTCTTTCTAGCAATTTGTGCTTTTGAGACACATCTCGAATGCTGTCATGATCCTAGATGCTCTTATCAGACCACAGAAGGATTGGTAATTATAGTGTGGCAGGCAGAATAATTGCTTCCCTAAAAGATGTGTGCCCTAATCCAAGGTAATCTGTGAATATATTATATTACAAAGAGGATTTTGCAGATGTAATTAAGGTTAAGGGACTGGACATTGCAAGATTATTCCGGAATCCCCACATGGAACCTCTCCCAGCTGACATCAGTTGGAGGGAAAAGGGACTATGAAAAAGGGCCAGAGATGCAATGTGAACAAGGCTCACCACTACAGGCTTTGGAAGTTAAGAAGGGAAGCAGAAGCCTGTAGAAGCTGAGCAAGGTGAGAACTCTTTCCTAGGGCTTCCAGAAAAGCAAGCAGCTCTGTTGATACCCTAATTTGAACCTAATCAGGTCTATCCAATTCCTCCCCACTAACTATAAGATAATGAATTTGTGCCCTTTAGGTGATTTGATGGATGGTAACTTGTTATTGTAGCAATAGTAAATTAAAAGGTTTAAATTCCAGCCAGAAGGTGGTGGCGCATGTCTTTAATCCCAGCACTTGGGAGGCAGAGACAAGCAGATTTCTGTGAGTTCGAGGCCAATCCGGTCTACAGAGCAAGTTATAGGACAGGCTCCAAAGCTACAGAGAAACTGTCTTGAAAAACCAATAAATAGGCGGGGCGTTGGTGGCACACGCCTTTAATCCCAGCACTCAGGAGGCAGAGGGAGGCAACTCTCTGTGAGTTTGAGGCCAACCTGGTCTACTGAGCAAGTGCCAGGACAGCCTCCAAAGCTACACAGAGAAACCCTATCTCAGAAAAAAACAAAAAACAAAAAACAAAAAATAACTAACTAACTAAATAAATAAATAAAAGGTTTAGATGCCAAAAATGACCCAAGACTGTGGGGTAATTAACAGCTTGGTTGGTCAGTTATTAATAATGCATAAAAATCTAGTAGTAAATATTGACAATGATGAAAAGTGATCTATCTTCATAATGTCCCCCCAAATTATCCTAAAGTAGTATTTAATTTTTCTTTCTAATGTTCAATTTAAAGATGCAGGTGTAATCAAGCAAATTTGTTTGCCCCTGCTCCAGCAGAGTAAGAATTTTATTGAAACAAGAGGTAATAAAATACTGTATGTCAGAGCTGGGAGTGGTGCAGCATGCCTTTAATGCCAGCATCTACGAGGTAGAAACATAAGGATCTCTGTGAGTTTGAGGCCAGCCTGGTCTACATAGCAAGTTCCAGGCTAGCCAGGGTTCGTAGTAAGATTCTGTCTCAAAAAACAAAACAAGGTCAGGCGTTGGTGGCGCACGCCTTTAATCCCAGCAATCGGGAGGCAGAGGCAGGCGGATGGCTGTGAGTTCGAGGCCAGCCTGGTCTCCAGAGCCAGTGCCAGGATAGGCTCTAAAGCTACACAGAGAAACCCTGTCTCAAAAAAAAGAAAAAAGAAAAACAAAACAAAACAAAACATGTCTAAGTTTCCACACAAGCTGACTGCCGATCTACTCAGAGAAAGGGAAAATGACTCAGGTTAACCTCGGTAAGCTTTATTGTAAGAATACATATTTACAGGACCCCGGGGAAAGACGGGCCATTCAAGTCAGGAAGGATTGAGTAGGAAGGATGCTGTGGACTCAAGGAATGTGTTCCTAAGTGACTCAGCCACCTCCTTTATGCCATTTTCTGCTCACTACTGCCTGGATTTCGTATCATCCACTCTGTGGGTCTTTTACGAACTATAGGTTCTGCTTATTCATAACTTGGCTTACTCATAGCCTGACTCAGTCAAGTCTTTGATTCATTACATTCCTCTTCTGCTAGTTCCAACTTCTCTCTACCCCAGAGTGTGCCAGCTTCATTCAAGAATTTATTCTTTCATTGGAAAGTAACTGTTGAGCACCTACTGTGTGCATTGTGCATCTTCTTCTCTAGTCAGAGAGAGAAAAACATCATCCAAATAATTACAAAAGTGCCTTGAGCACTTCTGATTTACTTAGTGTATTTGTTCAAAGGGTTCCTGGATAAGCCGTTCAAAGCTCCATGCTCTATCTGCCTTCAGGAACACAAGAAACAGGTTGTCCCGTTTAACACCACATGGCCCACCCCATCTCCTGAAGTCAAGGCAGCTGATTAAACTAAGGACTGGCATTTGACCAAGGCCAATTAATACATTGGCTGGCCAGCACTCACCGTTTAAGTCTAATAAACTTCCTCTACAAGGAAGAGATCATAGCACATGACATACATTAAATAAAATTGACATGTTTACCATGGTAGGGACAAATCTTATACCTCAGAGAAGACTACCACCCACTGAGGAAGAGAAAGCTACATCCCACTGGTTTGATTCAGGAACTCAGAGCAGGGTTCAGGGCAGGGAGTGAATAGGGCTGGCTTTAAGCAGACCACAGGGCCTTACGGATCACTTAAACTGTGGCCAGAGTTTGGATTAGGGAAACTGCCAGGTTCCTTGTACAAAAGTGTCATAGCTCTGGGTAGGGGTAAATGATGATCATTTCCGAGAGGTTTGTTTCTCGGGGAGTCTATGGGATAAGTCCTTGGCCTGGGTCCAAGTGCATAGATTTCAACATAGCACAGGCTCTTTATGCCAGACTTTGGGTCATCATGTTTACTTAGGCAGTACTCAATGAAATATTTTAGAGAAGCCATACAAAGGGCCATGGAACAACACTAGCCTATGACCTTGAGTCGCTCTCCCACGTCCCTACCCCCACTAGAAGCCAAAGATATAATTTACTACATAGAGAAGGTCAGACTGAAGAGCAGCCCCTCACACTTCTAATCGTTAAGCCAACAGCAAGCAGCATGACTCAGTTGCTTCCACGTTCTTGGCTGTGTTGCTAGTGTGGCAGGAGAGGAGGTAAGGCCTTGGGACCTTGAATTAGTAATAGCGTTCTTTTTGAGTCAGACTGACTAAAGGGCTGGTGGTTCTTGGGAGTTTGTGTTTTCTGGGTTTTGGAACAGGATGTTGGCACATTTGTTCTGTTGTCTGAAGATAGGTTTCATTTGGAAATAAAAACACACAGAGAACTGAATTTCCCCTGGGACCATCTGGTCGTGTGACTTGGAAAGGAGTATTCCATGTTGGTCCAGGGTTACTTGAGGTTATGGAAGCTTGTATAGACCCTAGTCACAGTGCTAGGACTGAGGAATCCAGGAGCTGCTGGAACAGGAGAATACCCGGCAACAAGTTGGATGTAGTAATGTTCACGGTGGAAGCCCTGGGGTTGGAGAGGCACAAAGTCTTTCAGGATTGGGAAACCTCTAGAAACTACCAGCCTCAGCAGCTGTGGGGATGGCTTAATCAATAAAGTGATTGCCTTGCAAGCAGGAGGACCCACAAACAAACTCCACAACCCATGTGAAAATGTCAGTGTGGTAGCTTGTGTTGATAATTCAGTGCTGAGCAGGTGGAGACAGGAGGATGTCTAGAGGACACTGGCTGGGTAGTGGGCAAGACCCTGGAGGTGGATGGCATGCCTAAAGATCTCTCTCTCTCTCTCTCTCTCTCTCTCTCTCTCTCTCTCTCTTCCTTCTCCCCCCCTCGCCTCCCTCTCTCTCTCTCTCACACACACACACACACACACTAGCTTTCCCCAGCTCTGCTTTTGTACCCATTAGAGGCCATCTGGCCCAGCTTCCTCATAACACTAGTGTAAATACCAAGGCCCTGAGACAACAACTAATCTTGTCTCGTTCAATGAATGGTGAAGCAAGACCAGGACTCACGATATGATGCAGGGAATGAGCATAGCCAGAGCTTGGAAAGCAGGCAATGAAATGGCCTTTTGTGAGCATCGCATCCACATGCCTGCTAAGAATCCATGTGTTCAAGTGTCTCAGCTTGTAGCCATAGAATTGATAAAACTGTCCTAGAGCCTCTGCAACAACTGGCAGATGACATTGTGTCATCAAGTTAGGCAAGAAGTCCCAGTGGTTCTTGATCCCCAGCCCATAACCAGTCCATCACAAAGTCTTGTCAATGCCACCTTCTGTTCTGTCCACTTCTTTTGCTCTATAATTTTTCTGGTCTGAGCCATCATCTTTTATTGCCTGTACTTTGGTGACACTTTCCTGCCTTCCTTCCTTCCTTCCTTCCTTCCTTCCTTCCTTCCTTTCTCCCTCCCTCCCATTTCCTCTTTCTCTCCCTTTCTCTTTTCCTCCCTCCCTCCCTTCCTTCCAGTCTTTGTTTCTGATGAAGTTTTGCTGTATTGTTCCTGATGGCCTGAATACTTTGGTTTAAGAGATCTTTCTGCCTCTGCCTTCAGAGTAGCTGGAACTGCCATGTATGGCTTGGGTCTCTGTGTCTTCCTCCCTCTTGTGTCTCTGTCTCTCTCTTTCCTTTCTCTCTTTGTGAGGCCTAGGGTCCAACCTAGGGCTTTCTCCATGCTAGGCAAACTCTCTGGAGCTGAAGCGCACTCCAACCCCTTCAGATAGGACACCCACGCTTCCTCTGCTTCCAAACTGCTCTTCGTACAGCAACTGGAGATTTTCCTCCATCATCTTATTTTTCATTCATAGATTTTTATTTATTAGGGCAATTTTATGAGTTTATAGACAATTGAGTACATAGCACAAAGAGTTCCCTTATAGGTACCCTTGCCTACGTAACTCAGTTTCCTCTACTATTAACATGATAGTGCAGTACTTTTTTGTCCTGCTCTTGCTTTAGGAGTTTGTAGTCTCTGTAGTTTTGGCTGTCCTGAAACTCACAGAAATCCTCTTGCCTCTGCCTTTGAAGTTCTGGGATTTGCCTCCATGTCTGTTTTGTTTTTTGAACTAGGCTCTCATATAGCACAGGTTGGCCTAGAACTTGATATTATTATTATTATTATTATTATTATTATTATTATTTATTTTATTATTATTAACAACTCTAGTCTGTGTTGACATTAGGGTTTACACATCCTTCTGGGTTCTGTCAGATGTATATCTCATTATCTGCCATTATACTGACTACAGAGTAGTTTTACTGCTTGGAAAAATCCCCTGTATTTCATTTAGTTGTCTTTTGACAGCAGTCCTTTCAAAATGCATCTTGTCCCCTGTCTCTCTTCTCATCTGGCCTCAGCCTGTTCCACTCTCCAGCTTTCAGGCCCCAACCATACGGGTCTTTTGCTGTTATTATTTCACTTCCTCAAGCCATGCTCCATTCTGCCTTTGGGTTTTGCTCACAACCTCTCTTCTTCCTGAAATGCATTCTACCTCCCAGTTCCACACACGTGTCTTATCACAGTTTATAATTATATTTATGTGTGTGGTTATTAGATTTGCCTCCTTGCAAGGCTGTGAGCTGCTTGCTGAGAAAGCTCTGCCCTTGCATTGCCAATACCTGGCACACAGTAGATATGTAATAAGTACTTATTGAATAATACTATAACTAAATTAATTAATACACAATACCCACAAGGGAAGAATAGTGAACGTATGTCTTGATTGCTAAGAGATGAGGAAAGCTGACAGGAAACCAGTAAAAAAGCTTATCCAGGGCTGGGGAGATGGCTCAGCAGGCAAAGATGCTTGCTGCCAAGGCAGACAATAGTGGAAAGAGAGAGCACACATCTGCAAGTTTTCCTCTGACCTCCATATCAGTGCTATGATATGTGTACCCAATACATGCACACACTAGACAGATAAATAACTAAATAGTATCTGTATGATGAAGGCATGCTGGCATTGTATTAGAGGCCTCTGCCCGACAGATTGTGTGATGGATGACTACAAGGTGGAACTATTATAGTGGTGACAAGGACAGGGTGTGGCCATGGAATCCACAGAAGTGAACCTTAAGTGGAGATTCTGAGTTTGAAGGGTCAAGGAATTAAGAAACTGGGCCCTTGAGTGGAAGGTCCATGGAGTCTGCAAAATCCCTCCCTCACTCGACCCCAGGATGAAGAAGTGAGCCAAATAGTCAGAGACCATGAGGAGATAGCCAGGTGGGGGGTGACAGAGCCAAAATAAAGGAAGGCAGAGGTTGAATGGTATTGATCCTCGGTAGGGCAGAGATTTTTTTCCTCATAATAGAACAGGGACGAAATTGCTCCAAAGGGTCTTGCAGAACTAGAATGTTGTTAGTGCCGCCTGAATATGAGCCATGGGAGAATAAATAGCTTTTACTTAAAATGATGACAGGGGAAGTGGTAACCTCAGGGGACGGCCGGGTTTCAGTTCAGGCTGGAAGGTGAAGGAGATCGGCTAGGTTTCTGGTTGCATTTAACAGAAACCAATTGTAGCCACCTGTGGTCAGTGGGGAATGGAGGATTGCAGCAGGGTGGGGGATGGGGGAAGCATATTTTGCACATATTGAACAACATGCCACAAGTCCACCATTGTGTGTGGGAAGAGTGCTACGCTGTGGGCTGCACAAATGCTCCAAAAAAGATGTCAGCTATAGATAGTTCAGTAAAGTTGAGGAAGTATGAGAATTTGTTCAACAGACAGGTGTTCCAAAAAGACACAAACAGAATGTCTGGTGGAGTAGAACAAGGCAGAAGTTCAGAGCAGCGTGGGGATTAGAGTGGTTTGTGGGTTCAAAATGGTGGTGCCAGGAAGGTGGTTATCTAGAACGGTAGCTACCAGAGGCTCTGTAAGTGTGCCGTGTCAGGTTTGCTGTGTGTGGAAATCCCTGTTGCAGTGTAGACGCAGGCCTGCTCATCTTCGCCTGAAGAATTTGGAATTGAGAATTCCTTCACTTCCTTACATCTCCAGTGTTCCACCAAAGCTTTTGGCACCTGTCTAAGAGCTGTACCCTGGACTATTTATTAAGCTAACATCCAGACCCAGGAAATTTATGTCATGTTGTAATTATGACACCACAGACATATTCTAATGCACGGACTTCTTTAGACCCGGGACTGTTTCGTGTTCTTATTTATAGCCCTCCATTCCTAATGCTGAGCGCATTGCCTGGAACTTAGTCAGTTGAACATGTTCATGAGGAAATGAATGAATTTAGCTCTCTCATTATTCTTTTCCCATCACCTAGAAATGTTAGGCTCTGCAAAGAGGCCTCTGTGGTAAGACTTTCTCATTCGTGCCCACCCTTTTCCATGATTACCAATTTCCTGGCCTTAATTCCACATTTGCCAGACAGAGACCATCTGCCAGGCGAGACAAACCCAGCTCGAGAGTCACCCTGTCCTCATTCTTCCTAAGCTGCCTCCCGCATTCTCTGAAAACCTGGGCCTGACACATAATGGGTGTTTTCTCCGTATTTATGAAACGACGTCTTCACAACACGGCTTGAGGGACAGACTCGTCTGCTCCCCTGGACGATTCTTTTCCTTCCCTCAGTCTCTCCAGCTCCTGCAGAGGCGGTGCCCAGAGTGAATGTACCAGATGGGAATTTACACAGTTGTGACATCAATTTTAGGAATGTGATTACTTCAGGAATAGAAGGAGAGATGGGACAAAACCAACAACAGGCTTGGGGGACTTCAGCTATAGGTGCAACTTTTTTTTTCTGGGGATGGATACATACACACTGTATCCTTGTATCTTTTCATAACTCTGAAGTGTTTAGATGAGAAAGTTTAAAATAAAATATACTTATCTTTGACCAGTGGATGCCTCTAGATGGGCCTGGAGGTGGGGGCAGGGGCAGCACTGGCTGATGGACTCTGAGGTCTGGGGGTACTAAATCAAGATTTTCAGCCGAGTGAGGACAGAGGGGTGGCAGAGGGCTTCTGGGATCAGAGCCAAGATCTTAGACCAGAAGGTTCCAAGCTGAGTTTGGCTGACTATGAAAGTCAGTGAATCTATTGTATTTTCTAGTGAAAACCTCAAAACCTGCCATTGCCAGCTTCTTAGTTTATTTGTTGGTCTGTTGTCTGGAATCAGGAACAAGTGTTCCTATAGAAA